ACTGACTATCTCTAGGACCCTTTGGGATACAGAGACATGCACATGTACATGTACATGTACAAATACATGTGTAAATACATACACACATCTATCTATACATATATGCGATGTAGAAAGGCTTGGGGTTTGGAGTCCAGTCTAGAGTTTGAGGGTGATAGGATTTATCGGGCTTGCAGGATTTAGGGTTCAAGCTTTGTTTTAACAAGTGACTCCCTAAACCCTAAACCCTAAGTTTAAGCGTTGTGGGAGCTCGGGATGTAGATAGGTGCAAAACTGCTTCTGATGCCTTTGGGCTTGTTCGCCTTTCTGGCTCAGTTTGTGTACCCCGGTTCGGGTCCGGAGCCCTGGTCTTTCTTTTGGCTTTTAGGGGTTAGGGTTTAGGGTTCTAGGGTTTGGGGTTTAGGGTTCTCTAGCAGCTTTGCATTGCTGAGATTGGGGTTTCGGTTTATGGGTAGTTCTCTGAATTAGGGTCCCTTTTGGGGTCCTCTTTATAAGGGTGCCGTACTATATTGGGGACTTATACGAAGGGACCCTAATTTAGAACACTACCCTTAAAAGGGTTTAGGGTTCAGGGTTCAGGTTGCCAGCCCAGAACACCGACACCAACAGTCAACCAAAACATCACTCCACCTTATACCGTTCATTGGCACCCTGACACCATCACTCGTACAGAACCCTCCCCGAAGCCCGATATGATGGGTAAGTCTCTAAGTAAGGGTTTCATTTAGGGTCCTCTTTAAAAGGCTGCCGTTCTATTTTGGGGGATCCCAAGAACGGACCCTAACTTGGAGAACTACCTATTGTGAAACCTTGCATATCCTGAAACGCCGTGCGCTCGATTTTACTTGAAGAGTTCTCGGAGCCGCGCAGGATCTTGGTTCCTCAGTGACTGTTGATTTGTGGGGTTTTAGGGTTTGCCTGGACCCCTTTTAAACCTTATAGGGGCCCTAATAATCAGAATGGGGTTTTGGGCTCCTTTATGGTATATTTAAATAAGGAATCCCAAAAGTGATATTGGTAATTATGTAGGCTGGTATATGACTTGATTTCGGTGAGCGCTTGGGGCTTAGAGTATACAGAGAGATCTTTGGGCTTAAGGGTGAGGGGTCAAAGTTCAGCGTTTAGAGGCTTTGAGGCGCAATCTCGATTTAGAGTTTATAGGATCTAGGGATGATTCTCATTCTCGGCTTGGCTTGGGACTTCTTATGTGTCTCTTTCTTTCTGATACGTGTTGGGCTTTGAGTTCATGGCGTGCGTGCGCGCGCATAATTTGGGGTTTAGGCTTTCCACGTCCTCCAGGAACGTGCAGCTTCGCGGGTTTGGGGTTTCGGAGTTATTTCATCACAGAATTACGGAATGTTGTACTGGGGTTAGGGGTTTAGGGTGTGTTCCGATTTAGGGTTACAGTCGATTACAGGGTATTTGATTAAAGCTGCCGTGACCAGGGACGTATCGAAGCCATTGAAATACCCTGAACTCAATCTCTTCACCAAAACCGCCTGCAACACCTGCAAAGTCCCGGGAAACAACTGTGAGCCCTAACGTCAAAGCGCTTGTCGTAAGCCCTTTGCAGGAAACCTTTACACAACGTTTGCTAAAGCTTTCGGAAGTCGATTTTGCTGCACAGGCCTTATCCCTAAGGGTCCAAAGGACCCAATAATTAGGTACTTGGGTTTCGGA